GTCAGGGGCGGCCGGCTGGGCGCTCCGCTCCGGGCAGCTCCAGGAGCGAGGCGGCAGCATCTGCGCTGCCCTTTCCTGCGTCACGGATGCCCGTAGGCACCGACAGGGAAACGCGGCAAACGGGCTGACAAAAAAAAGCCTGAACTGCTTCCGCACAAAGGTCGAAGCACAAGGGCCCTTCGCAGCAGCGCTCAGAGCAACTTTCGGAAAGTGGCCCCGGCTCCTCGTGACTTTGCCGCTACGCAGGAACGAGCGAGGGACGAAGACCAGAAGCTGGGAACGGATTTCACAAGGACCGTCTTATCAGCTGCAGCTACTTAGACATAATTAGCAGTGTGCATGATGCATCACAGGCTGGTCTGAGTTTAATAGAAAAAAAAAATCATCGAAGACTATTTATAAAGCTTACTGCCATTCCTGTACGTTTCCCATCACATGGGGATGTGTCAAAGGCTCACGCTCAGTCCCGTAAGCGCTAAAGAGAGGGTTGGAAACAGAGCAAAGCACATGATCCTGCTAAACTGGGGAAAAAGAAAAATCAGAAAATCCACTCAGGAGGGCTGGTGGGCGCTGCCCGGGGCAGCAGCAACGAAGGGAATTTTGGAGGGGATATACAGCTTACGTCCCAAAGCTGCGTGCGCATGCAGCAAACCAGCCCGCCTGTGCTTGCAGGCTCGAGTGTGGAGAACAGGTGTAAATCACTTGCATGACCTTTCCCGTTTGATGACTTTACAGCTGGTCACCCAGACCTCAAATATCCTTTCATTTATGTCATCCATCATCAACACCTGCTGGCGAGGCTGGCAGCTTGTGTTATTAACAGCGTTAACGCGACCGTCACCCGGCATCGTGGCAGAGTGGCCGAACGGAGGACGAGCTCAGGCCTTCGGGCTTGCGATGCTGCCACGGCGCGGCCCGGGCTGTGCACGGAGCCCGAGGCATCGCGGTCCGCTCGGCGTTAAACACTGCTGTCGTCCCACCGCCTCCTCGCTGGCCGCACCAGCAGCGCGTGCTGCCGCAGCGCCCGCCGGTCCCCAGCGTGCCAGGGTGGAAATCCCCTTTTTCTGGTTTTTATCCTATTACATAAGAATTTCTTTAACTTTCTTTAAATTTCTGTAACTTGGCCTCCTCTTTTGAAGACGCTCAGGTCTTTGGTCTTTACAACAGGAACTTTTGTGGGCTAGTGTGCCTTATTTCTTTAAATCTCTTCTCAGTCAGCTATGTTTAATGACTCCCATCACTTGTTACGATGGTGTTCTCTGCCTTTCTCTCTCCAGCCCCTCTGCCCGGAAAAACAAGCCTCTCCGCTGCTCGTGCGAAGCCGAGCGGCAGGTGGGGAGGCAGCGGGGGGGAGGGCAACCCC